ATAGCTAAATAATTATATTAGGAAGTACCCTGTATTTGATAGTGTTGGAAGAGCTGGCATCTGGAAGCGCTTAGATACCTGAGACTGTTATCTGTAAGGCACAAGGAACATTTCAGCTTTCTAGCACTAGGAGCTGTCATGGCATCCCTGAGGAATCTCAGGAACTATGGTTCGTTAAGTTAGCACTAATTCCATAAGGCGATCGCTACAGGCAAGGGCTCTCCGGAGAAGGTCCACATCCTGTCTTTTTCCTCTGTGCCAGGCTACAGTGGAGCACCTGAGTCAGGAATTCTTGCTGAAAACTCCCTTGAACCACAATGGCTGCAGATCTGGAAGTTAAGTTCCAGCACACAAAGCGAAGTTGACTTCTGAAAAGGCACAGAGGATGGCTGGGCTGTGAGGAGCCCTTGGCTGAGCCACTGTTCTCTTGACTTCAGTCCCATCATCTGCACTTTTAGGAAAATATGAAGTCTACCTTGCATGGCTATTGTGAAGATTACTGAGGATGTACAAAAAGAGTGCTCTGAAAACATGAAATGAGTTATGTAAATTTTAAGCATTTGGGGGGAAACTTATAATCTGTACAGTACCTAAGATTTTCTAGGGACTTATTTCAACCTTTAGATTAGGCATCCTTCGGTCTCGAGAGACTATGGTAACGTGCTCTGTATGGAGGACTTGGAACAGCATCTAGTGTGGCTGAGAAGGCCAATTTGAGAGCAACAGTCCCTTCCACACTGAAGACAAATACAGTCTGTCCTCTGTCCAGCTCCCTGATTTTGTTGCTTTCATGATTGCTTGCCTCGGCCTGCTGGACAAGGGTCTCTTCATATTGGGAGAGGCCATGATGCAACGCCTGCGACCATGTGAAAAAGAAGGTATGACTCCTGTGCCTTCAATGGAGGGCATGGAGAGGGAAATTTGGCTGGCTTATTCTGCATGCTCAGCCACACTTGTTGAAATTCTCTTTCCTACGCAGCTATTAACAAGTGCCAAAGCCCTGTCCTCTTTTTCATACTACCACAATCTAGGAAAGTGCCTTGTCCATATGGACGGCTTTTTGCCCCACCATTCCGGCCAACCCTACTGATACATTAAAATGGCAGACAAGTCATGCTGTTCCAGCTGTATGAGAAGTGATACACTTATAGGCATTCTGCCATGTTAAAGAGTATATATTATACACACACGTAGAAGTTTTTCAAAACCCAAATACATTAGGGGTGAGAGTTCTGCACTAAACAACTTCTAGTAATGCTGATTTCTTAGTTGCAAAGATCTTCCTCTTTCTTTAGAGTTGGTAGGGATATCTACTCA